GACTAAACAAACCCATTTTTTTTTTCAATCTTTCCTCATAGGTCATGTTTTCTAGACCTTTAATCAGTTTTTGTTCTCCTCTGGACTTTCTCCAGTTTGTCCACAGCATTCCCCAAGTGTGTTGCCCAGAACTGGACATGTACTCCAGGTGAATCAGTAAGGCTGCGAGTTTGTCATGGAGGTCATGGAAGTCATGGATTCCATGACTTTCCATGACCTCTGTGACTTCTGCAGTGGCTGGTGCGCCTTGCTCAGGGGCAGCTCAGGCAGCCCGTGCTCCAGTCATACCGGCTGCTGCTGGGGCAGTCTTGGGCCACCGCGCCACCCCCACCCCCCAGCAGAGTTTGGCTGTGGGAGGGGGCAGGGGGTTGGGGCACGGGATGGGGTGAGACAGGTTGTGGGCAGCACTTACCTGGGGGGCTCCCCAGAAGCAGTGACATCCCCCTCACTTAGCTGCAAGGCGGAGGCGTGGCCAGGCAGCTCTGCATGCTGCCTCCGCCCAGAGTGCTGGCTTTGCAGCTCCCATTGGCCAGGAACCAGGTAATCACCGCCCAGAGCCTGCCTCACCCTCTCCCGTGCCCCAATACCCTGCCCCCTCCCACAACCCAAAGTCTGCTGCTGCTTGGGGAAGGAGGGGAGGCACAGAGCCAGGTAGGGAGCCTGTTGGTCCCACCAACCCTCTCCCCCCTCCCCCCCAGCCGGGGTCCTGGGCCACACGCTGCCCCTTAAGCAGCCCCCCCTCCGAGTTTTAGTCACGGGAATTTTTAGTAAAAGTCATGGGCAAGTCACGGGCCGCGAATTTTTGTTTACTGCCCGTGACCTGTCTGTGACTTTTACTAAAAATACCCATGACTAAAATGTAGCCTTACTTATCAGTACTGAATAGAGTGGAAGAATTACTTCCCATGTCTTGCTTATAGCACTCCTGCTAATACATCCCAGAATGATGTTGACTCATGCAACAGTATTGTTGTAGTTTGTGATCACTATAACTGCCAGATCCTTTACTATAGTATTCCTTCCCAGGTGGTCTTATTTTGTATTTGTGCAATTGATTATTCCTTCCTAAGAGGAGTATTTTGCATTTGTCCTTATCTAATTTCATCCTATTGATTTCACACCATTTCTTCTGTTTGTCAAGATTAGTTGGAATTCTAATCTTGTCCACCAAAGCACTCAGAATCCCTCCCAGCTTGGTATTGTCCACAAAATGTGTGTACTCTATATGCCATTATTGAAATCACTTATGAAGATATTGAATAGAACCAGACTCAGTACAGATCCTTGTGGGACCCCACTTGATGACCTTTCAGCTCAATTGCAAACCATTGATAACTACTCCTGAGTATGGTTTCCCAATCAGTTGTGCACCCACCTTATAATAGGTTGGTCTTCACCAACGTTTCTCAAACTGGGGGTCCCAACCCAAAAGGGGGTCACAAGGCTATTGAACAGGGATCGGGAGATCACAAAAAAAATATTGCTGGTGCGAGGAGGAAGGGGAGTACAGCAGCCACCCAGCTCTGAAGGCAGCACCGCTGCCAGCAACACTGCAGAAATAAGGGTGGCAATACCATGAGGTTGCTCCTATGAATATGTACAGTAACTTGCTATCACTTTTTTTGGTAGGGAGTCGCCTTGGTCGAGGCCATACTTCTCTAGTTAGTTTGAGACGGTTGGGTGAGACAGTATCAAAAGCTTTACTGAAGTCGAGATATATCCCACTTACTGCTTCCCCTATCATGAGCTAATTCCATTTAAACTAAATGGAAGGATAAATAAAAATATGTCTGCGACTAGGGTCCTTGAATTCAAGAGGAAACCTAATTCTTTTTAAGGGAGTTAAGGAAGTTTACTGGACCGAAACTCAGAAATCTGAATGTTTAGGAGGGCTGTAATTATTTTCTGCAACTTTGACTTAAAGTATCTGGAGCCTGCATCCCAAGCAAGGGGGGGAAAAAACATGTAGACAAGGGTTGAAGACCAAATTGGATGAACAAACATCTCATACAGATGAAGAGATGGCAGAAAGCCTAGAAGGGATGGATCAGCAAGGAAAGCTGTCTCTTGGCGGTCAAGAAGTATAGGGAGAGGAGTGAAAACTGCCAAAAGCCAAGCAGCAGCACCATGCAAAAGAAATTAAAACCAGTAGGAAAAGGTTCCTTAGCCATATAAATACAAAAACAAGGACTGGGTGGAGATTTAAAGATAAGCTAGATATGGCCCAGAACCTAAACAAATACTTTATTCTTATTTAGAAACTGAGGCAGTGAGGAGCTTGGGGGCAGTGTCAGGGTGGTCATGGGAACAAGGATATGGAAGTAGAAATTACTACATCCCAGGTCATCTTAATGGGACCTGCAACAGGGAGGCCCATTGGTGGTTGACTATTCTGTATCAGCAGCTCTTTTCAGGCCTGACATACTCATTACACCTAACACTGTTGTCATGATACATGCCACCTTTTGACTATGTAATAGATCATTGGAAAACTACCTCATTGATTAATATTCATGTGTGATATATGTACAGAGTATGCACAAAGAGTTTCTAAATATGTTCTAGAATTATGTCAGATGGTGTTGGGGAAATTCAGGATTGGGAGGGTCTCCCAGCAAAAAGTAACTGGGCAGTGACAGTTAGGGTGTGATGAGCATGCTTGTATGCTGGCTGTTGGTGTTAGGGCTGTGAGCCACAACAGAACACCATTTAAGGCACCCATCATTGCAGGACAGGCAGTGGTTGCAGGACTGGTCTGGGTTGAACCCCACAGTGTCACAGGACCAGACCAGAGGGCCCAGATAATCTTATCCAAAAATATGAAAGGATGATATTGCAAGCCCAATAGCAAAGATATTTAATGAATATGTAAATGCAGGGATAGTACCCTATGACTGGAGAATTGCAAATATACTACCTACAGTTATGAAAATGGGGGTGGGGGGGGAGTGATCCAGGAAACTATAGACTGGTTAGTTTGACCTGAATTGTGCAAGATTTTAGGACAAATATTGAAAGAGTAATTAAAGACAGATAAACGGTGATTGGGATAAAATACAACATGGTTTTACAAAAGGTAGATTATGCAAGACCAGCCTGATCTTTCTTTGGAAAGATAACCAATTTTTTTCTAGACTAAAGAAATGCAGTAGCTCTGATCTACTTGAGTGACTTCAGCAAAGCAGTTGATAACAGTTCCATATGGGAAATTGGTTAAATGGGGGGAGATGGGGATTAATGAGAGAATTGAAAGGCGGGCAAGGAACTGGTTAAAGGGGAGACTATAGTGGATCATACTGAAAGGTAAACTGTCAGGCTGGATGGAAGTTATTAGTGGAGTTCTTCAAGGGTTGGTCTTTGGGGCTGATCTTATTTAACATTTTCATTAACGACCTTGGCACAACAAGTGGGAGTGTGCTAATTAAATTTGTGGATGACACAAAGTGGTTGGTATTGCCATTGCAGAGGAGGACCAGGAGATCATATAATATTTGGACAGCCTTGAGAACTGGACTAATGGAAGTGGGGATGAAATTGAATAGTGTAAGGTCATGCACTTGGGGACTAACTAAGTGTTTTTGCTATAAGCTGCAGACATATCAGTTGGAAGCAACTGCAGAGGCGAAAGACCTTGGTGTACTGGTCAATCTCAAAATGCTGCCAATGTCATGCAGCTGAAAAAGGCTAATATAATCCTAGGATGCCTGAGGTGAGGTATTTTCCAGTAGAGATAGGGAAGCATTATACAAGGCACTGGTAAGACCTTATTTGAGATACTTTGTGCAGTTCTGGTCTCCCAGTTTGAATTCAGCTTTTTTAAACATGGAACAGTTGCAGAGAAGGGCTACTAAAATGATGAGACAAATGGAAATCTATTTTGCAAGAGGAGAATCGAGGCACTTAGGTTGTTTAGCTTAACCGAACAAAGGCTGAGGGGAGATATGATTGGCCTGTATAAATACATCAAAGGGATAAATACCAGGGAGGGGAAGAGTTAGTTAAGTTAAGCACCGATATTGGGACAAGAACAAATGAATATAAATTGACCATCCAGTTTAGGCTTGTAATAGTCAAAGGTTTCTAACCATCAGAGGAGTGAAGTTCTGGAATAGACTTCCAAGGAGAGCTGTGGGGGTAAAAAACCTAACTGGATTCAAGACTGAGTTTAATAAGTTCCTGGAGGGGATGGTGTGATGAAACTGCCTACAATGGCATGTAGTCCATCTGTGACTGCTAGCAGCAAATATCTCCGAAGGCTCGTGCTGGGACATTGGATGGGGAGGGCTCTGAGTTACTATAGTGAATTATTTCGCGGGTATCTGGCAAGTGGGTCTCATCCACATGCTTAGAATCTAACTGATGGCCATATATGAACACACAGAATTTATTAAACTTTTCTTTCTTAAACCAAACTATCCAAAATACCCTATTACACTAAATAACTTGCTTTGACCATATTTGACCTTTCAAAATATGTTGACTGGCTCTTTGGTAAGTCTTCCCAAGCCTGTTAGGTAGAGAGAGAGCAGTTTCAACGTTGTTCATAGACTATTACAAAATATTAAGAGCCTAAAGAACATAAGTAATTTGAAAAAATTTAAAACTGGGTATAAAATCATCAGTTTTGTATAGTGTGATACATCCGCTGCTATTCTTCTGGTTTGTGATTGGAAGTTGATTGTGAGCCAGGAGGAGAAGGCTCTATCCTGGTAGAGAGGATGACTGGAGACCTGGGGGGGACAGCGGAGGAAGCAGCTGTTTGTGGTGGCTGAGCTGGGGTTTCCAAAGTTGCCTGTATGTAGTTGGGTCTATTTTGATACGAGTAATATAATGTGTTTAATTACAACATACCTGGTTCTGTGACATCAATTCCTCTCAAACAACAAAAACTACCCTGCTTCCTAGTACCAAAACTTGCCACCATTTGGCTGAGGCCAACAATATTAAGTTTTTAAGAAAACTCCATGTGTGTTTGTTTTTTTGTTTTTTTTTTTAAACAGAGCGTCTGTTGAAGATGACCTTGGAGGACAGACGCAAAGAATACTTGAGGGAGCATGTTCCATTGAAAGACATTCCAACATGGATGGAAGAAATGAGAAGCAAGAACCAAAGTGACGGTATGTAAAGAGCATGTTGGGAGGCGGGGACCTGTAAAGAAATTAACTATATATATATATTTCTCTGTACATATAGGTAACATCATCTGCAGTCTAAGTTAATTGTATTATACTTCAAAAATTAATTCTGTATCCCTAATGGCTTCTTAATTGTTGGGATTGAAAAATTGCACTTTTTTCATGTATTTAGTGTGTTAGCCTAGATAATTTTGGTCTTGGTTCTCTTAGTCAATTGCAAATGCGTGCCTTCTATAGTATCTGGTATGGATCTAATTTTCCAATAATTCTGTCTAGAGTGTACAGATACCAGTGGCTTAATGCCCTTAAAAGACTTGGACTTTACAGCATTTCCTAAAGCATACAATTCAGGATTTGTCCCAATGGTATGTGGGTGTGGAACTGAAGACCCTTTTTAAAATCACTCTGCTGGCAGCCCCCCGTCAGCTTGATTTAGAGAAATCTAGTTTGAGAGCCTCCACGTATTGCATTGATGGCAGTATTGTATGGGGAGAAGGGTTTCTCAAGTAACCAGGTTCCAAATCATTTTGTGCTGTGTTGGTTTCAACCAATACCTTGAATTTCACCTAAGAATCTATTGATGGTCCATACAAATTATGGAGTGCTGGTGTTTATATGCTTTATTTATAGGGTATTGCCTAAAGAGTAGGGGGCACTGGCTTCAGTTTCTAGATGTCTCAGTTTATGTAGAGTTGATTACAGTAGCTGGGGAAGGTGGTGCTGAGGGATTCGGAATGTGGGAGAAGGCTGTGGATTGAGGCAGGAGGTTGGGGTGCAGGAGGGGGTACAGGCTCTGGGCTGGGGGTGTAGGAAGGGGCTCCGGGTTTGGGGGGACTCAGGTGGGGTTGGGGTGGGCTTACCTCAGGTGGCTCCCAATCAGCAGGGCAGTGGGGCCAAGGCAGGCTCCCTGACTGTCCTGACTCTGTGCTGCACCCTGGAAGCAGCCAGCAGCAGGTCCGGTTCTTAGGCCAGGGAGGGGGCAGGAGGCTCCGTGCACTGCTCTCACCTGTGAGCACTGCCTCACGCTCCCCAGTTCCCGGCCCATGGGAGCCGATGCTCGGGGCGGGGGCGGCACGCGAAGCCCTGTGGCCCCCTCCACCTAGGGGTCAGACCTGCTGGCTGTTTCCACGGCATAGTGCAGTGCCAGGACAAGTAGGGAGCCTGCCTTAGACCTGCAGCACCACTGACTGAACTTTTAACAGCTCGGTCGGCGGTGCTGACCGGAGCTGTCAGGGTTCCTTTTCGACCGGGCGTTCTAGTCCAAAACCGGACGCTTGGCAACCCTATGCTCTCCTGCAACCATAGATATGGGGCTTAGAGTTCTGTCCCCAACCATTGTGAGATGGCTACAGTGATGACCTGGATGAATACGATGATTAAGGTATTAAGATATGAAGGTTAAAACTTCTCTCACAAGCTCTGTCTCTGTTTAAATGTGAATCTGAAGCAGCCACTTAGAAGGGTTTCAGGAACTGGGAGTCTACTCTGGGTAATCTCGGCGACCCAACAGGTTTGCAGGCCCCAGTACCATCTGGGTAGATGACTATACCATCTAGTCATCAATCCATTCTTAATCATTTGAGGTGCCTATAAGAGGCTGAAATTTTTCAAATATTCATATGGTTTGAGTGAATCTGTATTACAATAGCACAGTAGTCCCCAAACTTTTCAGGGATGTCCTTCCCCCAACTCCCTGTCCGTGCCGGGGGCGGGGCTGAATCAGAGCTGTGAGCGGAGCTGGGTTGGGTGGCGCTCCCTCCCTGCCCCCCAGGGGGACTGGCCCGGGCCCCACTGCGCATCTCCAAATGTTCCTCAGTGCCCACCTAGGGAGGTGCGCCCCACAATTTGGGGATCTCTGCAGTAACACACAGAGCCTCCTTTGTGGTAGGCATTGAACATACACTTAAGTCAGTCCTTTCCTCAAAGAGCTTACTCTCTGCATAGCATTTCTTCTCCTGTCCGTTTGTCTAAATTTTATGCATGGAGACTGACTTTCCTAAGCTCATCTAGAAAAATCTGAGAGCTGGGAATCTTCCAAGCCTTAACCACAAGACCATTCTTCCTTTCTACACATTAAGCTATTTTTCTGAACTTTACTAAACTTGAAAGTCAATGAGGCTTACAAATGCTGACTGTTAATGTTACTATCTCTTTTGGTTTTTGAGAGCATTATACTATGCTACTGTTCTGTATATTTACTTCATGAAACCACTGTCTCACTTGACAGAGGTTAGACAGCATAGCTGATTTGCTAATGCCACTGGTGAATTTCACTTCTCTTGTATGTTTTGTCTATACAACACAGATTTTGCTTTCTTTCAGTTAGTGCTTAGTGTGCTACAGAAATGCTTGAAGGCAAAAGCTGAGCTGAAACACTTTATTTCCCCCACTCTGTTATTTAAGCTTTTGTTACATTGTATATTCATGAGAAGATGTCAGCAGTTTCTTACATTTAAATTTGTTTTTATAAAAAAGCTATGGAGGAAAAGTAACCTTTTAGAAAGATGGGCTGACAATAAGCCAGATAATTAATTTAAAATGTGGAAAATATTAAGAGAAACACTTCTTACGAATGTTGTGGTTCACACTCTGTATGTAGTATAGCCCCCCACCAATACTTATACATTGATGCTATTCTGCAAACTACTGAGTATATGTGAAAGTAGTACTTCTGAACTTAAATATTTGAGCACAGAGTTTGGATCTTTTTTTCTGACTTGGAACTCTTGTTTTTTAAAGTAATTTTTCTTTAAACATAAATGTTGTTTCTTCCCCCCCTTTGTTGTGAGTAATAGATTCTTCAAAGCTCTAGATATATGGAAATAAGATGTATTTGAAATATAGGATCTGACGTATAGGTTTCGACTATACTTGGTTCATCATCCTGCCAATTCCTGATGCTTCAGAGGAAGATGAGCATGCACTTTAACCCAAATACATCTGACTAGTTGTGCTGCATAGTGTGTGCAGCAGTAATTCTTTCCTGATAACCAGCAGGCGAGTGGCTTATGACTAGATGTAACAAATAAATAAAGGCACTTCCAGCATTTTAAAAACTTTTTTTGTAATACTGCAGTATGTTAGGAAACCTTTCCAAACAACTCTTGTGATGTTTTGTGCCTTCAGATGTTTGCAGTCGAATGGACCAGTATGTAGGGGCAAGGGCAACAACAAATGAACGCTTTTTTTCTCTTTGATATAAGCTATATCTATTTTTATTCTTTATTACTCTTGGAGCATGTCCGTCTCAGTTAGCATGTTGCTTAACGAAGAGGTTGCATGAATGAAAAGAAGGTGGAGGTTGTGCAGATAAGCTCAGAAGATCCTTCCATAGATAAGGGCCAAGGTGGAAAGTCAACTTCTTTCACTAATGAGCCTGACATCATCAGCAGAGTAGTGTTAGTGGGGAAGGCTGAATAAATGACAAGTGCTAGTTACTTGTTATAAAAGTCAGATGCTAGTTACTACTTCCTGAGATCTAACTATAGTATTTGACTGACCTTCTGCAGCAGTGAATTCCACAGGCCACAAAGAAGCTGTGTAAAGTGACTTCCTTTTTATTCTCACTTTCTTGTAATTTAATTTTAAGAACTTCTTTTGACTGGGTAAGGTAAAAAAGGAAGAATGGAGCAGCTTACTTATACAATCAAATCTTCTCTTCTAAGCTAAATAATATTAATGTATGTGGTTCTGTCATACAGGTCCTGCCATGCCTCTAGCCCTCTTTGCCCTTGTGTGGACCTTATTCTTCTCTTCAGGGTGTGTTTTTGTTTTTTGGAAGGTGATATGACCAAAATTGAATGCACTGCTCCATTCTGTGTATTCTTCTTTAATATGTTATCACTCACTTCATATACAGTAGTTGCTAAGGGCAGGATGTAATAAAAACATCTGTCTTCTATACTGTGAAAGCCCATACAGTTTTTTTCCCCACAGTAGAGAAACTAGTATTTTTAAAGTTATTTGGACAGAGATGCTTGATAGGATGTTGTCTACTGAAAATGTAGACATCACCTGCAGTGATAACATTGACTATTGCCAAGCACATGTAGGGATGAGAAGGTAGTTAAGATTCAGTGCTTGGTCATCACTAACTTCTCTTGAGTCATGGTAGTTATGATTTGTTTGGTGTGAACACTTGTCCGCCAGGAGCTGTAGTGGGATCACCAGCTTGCTTTGCAAAAGCCATAAAACTGCTGTCAGGTGGTAACTTCTATCACGCTGCAATGAATTTGAACCAATAACCCAAAAGTAAGAAACAATACATCTTATTACTAATCCTCTGAGCAATCCAGTACAACTCTCTGATTTAAGATGGCCCACAGAATATGGACTCAACAAATTTAAAAAAAACACCACCACCCAACATATTTCAGAAGAGATTTTTTCTTTTTGAAATTTTCATCTGTTTCGCTCTTTTAGCTTAGAAATATCCTAGCAATGTCATCTGGAACTATTCTAGTTAAGGATTAATTGTCAATTTTGCATTGCTTAAATTCAGCCATTTCCATTCATTGTGATAACTTCTATGTGACACTTCAGTCTGTTTAAAATTATAATCTGTTTTCTAGAATTCCTAAATGGATTAAGCTGCTTCTTCAGTTACAAAATGGTCAAAATATATCTCTGTAGTTTCACTGACATGCTCTAATAAGACTTGACTTTTAAGTAAGGTCACCAGTGCTGATTTTGTGCAGACTAATGTATTCAGGAAAATATTTGGCCCCGGGTTGGGGGTGGATGGGAAAAGAAGAACCCAACTCCATGCTGAAGAGCTAATATTGGTGAACTCACACTCTTTGCAATGGTCTCATTACACTTTTCTTTGCCACAGCCCTTTTCCCTAATTCTCCTATTCCCTGAATTGTGATTAGGAAGTATTAAATAGCCATAGGGTTTTGTGCTGCCAGCGGTGGGGAATATGTTCTGTACCTGGGGATGAGGAATTTCTTTGTGCACACAACTGTAGTCAGGTGTCTGGG